AATCGAGGGTGTGTGTGTGTGTGTGTGTGTGTGTGTGTGTGTGTGAGTGGGTGGGTGTCTCACACAGCGCACACTGACTGCCTGACTGACTGATGGATGTCATTTAAAACATGCCACTTACTTCATCTGTTTCACGATGGTACTTTTCCCAGATTCCCCAGCCCCTGTGGAGAAGACACAGACACAAGGGAGTAAGATCGCCTGTCAAAATGAAGAGATCCCATATATGTGCATTCATCGGATGAGACACTGCGATGTTTAGGATACAGCTAGATTTGATGGGCTCCACTCCGTATTACCTAGCAGGAGCAATTTCACATCTTTAGCAGCAGTGACTCCGGTGAGTAGAGCTGATCATTGGTTGGGGCAATTTGGAATGTCCAGTGAGTTACCATGAAAGGTTAATGCTCTATTGTGTTTGAAAATAATGTAGCCTACCACCTCACTAAACCCTACCCTAAAACCTAACTGATAGTGTTAACAAAAGCAAATGTGGAATAAAAATGTGTTTGCTGAAGCAATCATGTTATTTTAGTTTAGTTTGCTTCTACAAGTGTTTCAGACAAGTACCCGAGCACTCTGTGTCACAAGTGTAAGGCTGTACCAGGTGAGCAACCGAGAAGTTTACTAAAAGCCATAGAAGCCATGTCAGAAAAGCCATACATATTGAGCTGGTTATGTGATGCAAACATCATATGTATTCGTTAACAAATCATGCGCTATGGTATCATGTTTTGAAGTAATAACAAATATTGTGCAAGTAACACGGCAAAATATGCCTTTATTAATCTACACTGAACAAAATTATAAACGCAACACTTTTGTTTTTGCCCCCATTTTTCATGAGCTGAACTCAAAGATCTAAGACTTTTTCTATGTACACAAAAGGCCTATTTCTCTCAAATATTGTTCACAGCAGATGAGCTTCCCTGAGACGGTTTCTGACAGTTTGTGCAGAAATTCTTTGGTTATGCAAACCGATTGTTGCAGCAGCTGTCCGGATGGCTGGTCTCAGACAATCTTGGCGGTGAAGATGCTGGATGTGGAGTTCCTGGGCTGGTGTGGTTACACGTGGTCTGCGGTTGTGAGGCCGGTTGGATGTACTGCCAAATTCTCTGAAACGCCTTTGGAGACGGCTTATGGTAGAGAAATGAACATTCAATTCACGGGCAACAGCTCTGGTGGACATTCCTGCAGTCAGCATGCCAATTGCACGCTCCATCAAAACTTGCGACATCTGTGGCATTGTGCTGTGTGATAAAACTGCACATTTTAGAGTGGCCTTTTATTGTGGCCAGCCTAAGGCACACCTGTGCAATAATCATGCTATCTAATCAACATCTTGATATGCCACACCTGTGAGGTGGATGGATTATCTCGGCAAAGGAGAAGTGCTCACTAACACAGATTTAGACAGATTTGTGAACAATATTTGAGAGAAATAGGCCTTTTGTGTACATAGAAAAAGTCTTAGATCTTTGAGTTCAGCTCATGAAAAATGGGGGCAAAAACAAAAGTGTTGCGTTTATAATTTTGTTCAGTATATAATCTGCCATGATCATAATTTATGTAAAAAGGGATGAAAATTGTTGTTTTACTGCCCCTAGTGTTCATTTCAGTTGGAAACTGCAGTGAATTGTATCATAATTACTGTATGTTTTTGGAGAAAAAATGGAGGTAGAGACATGTTTTTTTCCAATGCATCTATGTTGGTTTTTTAGCCTTTTGTTGGTTTATCTAACATTTGTCTGAAACATTAAAAAAAAAATTAAAAAAAAAAACATGTTGAAACCTATATATTGTACCTATTAACCTATATAGCTCTGTTTACACCTACTATTAAGAAACGTTTTGCTGCATCAGATCCCAAGTGGAGAACACTAAAATCAGGTCCAGGTCCATTTTCAACCACATATGGAGGAAGAAAATGTATGGGATCACATTGCTTTCACTGTTTCAACGTTTGTATGGTCAAATGCACTCAAACAGCTTCAAAGGACTGCCTACTCACCTAACACAACCATTATTGGACATGTTGTGAAAAAGCCTGTCAAAACAGGGGATTTCAACTTTACTAGGTGGAATACCAAAAAGAAAGAAGGAAAATATTAAATAAATAAACAGTGGATCTCTGAGATTGGACAGCCAGCCTAACCAGCTGTGCAACAGCCTTTGGATCCTCCTGCTGGAATAACAATATACAATATAACGAAATAAACATTCATTAAAAGCTTTAATGAATATTTACATATGAATGTAGACGTACACAGATAAGTCTTGCTATGGTGAAACGGTGGCTGGTTTCTGAGGCTCAAATATGCTGATACACGACTGGAACTCCTGCATTTGATCTTTTTCTGACAGTTTTGGAAAATGTGAATGAGGTTTGAAAGACATTCAAAGTTATTCTCTCTTGCATTCTGAAATTCATAGCAATAAAGGAGAAAGTGAGCACATACTCTTTGTTCTTTTGGAAGCCATTTTTGTCTTTGTCCGCCTTTTTCTTTTGCTAGACTGTGATTACTGAACCTGCATTTGGTGAGGATCTGTCTCTGTCTCGCTTTCTCTCATACATTATGACTATATTTCAGTTTACTTCAATATTTACTTTAATTTTCCAAATGGTCCAAATGTGTCATTTTACAAGCCTTTATGATTTGGTTGATTGTTTTGATTTTGTTTGCCTCTGTTTTGGTTTTCGTTCATGTGACTAAATTGCTTAAGCAGCAAAGAATGTAATTTATACAAACATGCCAATCAATTCACTGAAGTGAATTAGATTTGAAAGAACTAATAAGTACAAATTCAAGTGGCTCAGTTTTCTCCTGTTCCAAAAGTACTAGCCTACACTAAAACTGACATAATATAAAAACAAATGCTCTAGAAATGGTCCATATAATCTTATGAGAATGGAATTGAGTATGGAAGTATTGGTCCAATTGTATTGCCTTCATACTGTATTTATATTTAACTGCCTCTGTCAACACTCACCAGGCCCCTGTTATGAATATGAACTTATTTCTAATTGTCTGGTTAGAATAAAGTATATTCATTACAGGTCCAGGGAATTATTATTATTTAATTTGAAGAATTAAAAAAACAAACAATATAAACACACCAGATTCAATTATAAGCATTTCATTTGCCTCGAATCAACTCACTGAACTGTACCAAGGAGGAGTCTATTCACACATTACACACAAACTCATTGGTGTGATATTGTCAGTATTGACAGTAATTTGCCATTATGACTTGGTTATTTCACACTGCAAAAAAATATGTCCAGAAATCATTCTATAGGAACATCTTACAGTTTTTCTCAATTGCTTTGGCTCAATTCTCGAATGAAACTTTTTTTTCCCGAAACAATAAGTTCAGATCTCTGAACAATTAGCTTCTTGTTCACATCAGATTGGAATTTCTTATTGATTTGAGCAAATTGCAAATGCTTTGGCACATGTGTGCAAACAGTAAGTACAATTGTCTGCAGTTTGCACAACAACTAATTGCATATGGCTTGTTGATCAAAACTGATGAGCCGATTCTCACTTAAACTGTCAAACTCTTCACAACTTCTCAATCATTTTTCATCGTGTAAGCCATCACATTCAAAACGATCCATTCAATTATGAAAAATTGGTATACACGCATGTATATTCCATAAATATCTGACATTGACATTGTTTGTAATGTCTGCTAAATTGGCAAATGACCTCTAATTGCAATACAATTTGAATCAACCATTCAACCATTTAACCAATCAAGTTTGGGAGCATATATATGTAGATTGCCCACAGCACAATCACTAAGAATGGAGGACTTCCACAACCCTGAACTGCAGCAACATGCTCGTGGAAGAGCAATTGGAAGACGTGTAAGAATACGTGGTGGTGGTGTTAGAGGAAGACATAATAGAGGAAGAGGTGGAAATAGAAGAGTCAGAGTCTCTGATGAAATCAGAGCCACACTTGTGGATCATGTCATAAATCGTGGTTTTACAATGGAAGAGGCTGGTCGAAGAGTACAGCCTAATGTAAACAGGTCCACAGTGTCATCAATTGTGCAAACCTTTCGTAGGGAAAACAGGTAAATATGCATTTATTTTTTTTTGTTTTACAGTATGTAAAGCATTTTTATAAACAACAATATTGTAAACGTAAATGCAAGTCTATTTGTACATTCTACAGAACCGCACAACAACCTCGCGCTGGTGGCAGAGCAGCAGTATTTAACCATCAGCAAGAACAAGAAATCTGCAACATGGTCATAGCCAACAATTCCATCAGGCTAAAAGAGATCCAAAGTGCAATCATAAATGACAATGTCTTCGCAAATATAAATTCTGTCAGCATTTCCACAATAGACAGAGTTTTGAAAAGACATCAAATGACTATGAAACAACTCTACAAGGTGCCATTTGAGAGGAATAGTGAAAGAGTGAAGGAGCTGCGGTACCAGTATGTCCAGGTAAACTATTGGTGTGGTGTTTGTGGTAACATAAGAAATATGAAATGTACAGTAATTGGACAAGCAAGATTTCACTTATATGTAATGCATTCGTACAAAAATAAATGTACTGCATAAATACAAATGTTCATATACTTTTTTTTTTTCTATGTACTATTGACTCTTCTCAACAAATATGATTTTTTATAAAACCTTCATTTCCATGGTTGACTGTCATGGTGAAAAAACAACTAAACATTTTGACCAGTGTGGCTCACACTATGACAAAAATACTTTATATTTTGGTGGCCTTGGCCAAATTACTGACACGATAACTAGATTTTGAAGCATGAATGAAATGTTTTGGGTGAGTAACTACATTTTGCAGACATGCAATAAAGTTCTGAAGTTCCAGCAAACAGTTGTGACATTTGCACTCACAGTTTAGAGAATGTTAAGATTGTTTCGAAAAATGTGCCAAAGCAATTGAGAAAAACTGTAATGCAGGGCTACAGTATGCTAGGACAGGTAGGTTTTTTTTTTTTTTTTACGTAAATTTGGGACTTTTTAAGACCAAGAAAAGAACATTTCTGGAATAAATTGGATGGAACAATATGTCAGTATGTTCTCTAAATGTAAATCTCTAGGGAGCTCACAAGTATTTGAGTTTGCATCATTGACAGATATTTGTTATTGATTTGAGCATAAAAATTACTTTATAAATTTAAGAATTTCTGGTCTGATTTAAAACATTTTTTCAGCCATAATTTGCGGAAGGAATAATTAAGACTTTCAAAACCCAAAATCTGCAACAAATGTTCAATAGCATGATGTATTCACACACAACCTCTACATTTGAGAAAAAGCTTATCCAGGTGTTTTCACACTTCATGAATTACTCTATTACCCTGTGAAAACAAATAAAATAGATTTTGTTTTATAGTAGCCAATTACTTTTTTACACTATCATTTGAAAAATACAAAATAGAATATTTTTGTGTGGGTATTTAAAGCACACGTGTCCACATTTGAATTATATTTGAAATATCTTACAATATCTTGAATTATCGCAGTATTTTGGGGTGTTATATCACTGCCATCAGAGATGGATCATTGGTGTCGCCCAAGAGAGAAGGAGGTGTGATCAAAGCAAAGGGTCAAGGGTAACGCAATAAGTTGTTTGTGAAGGGCAGATGTATTGGCATTCAACTCCTTACAATCAAATTATTTCTTTACCATTCATTACAAAATGATGATAAGGAAGATAACAAGTGTTCTGTTTTAGATTAATCTAAGTAATACCGTTCTCAAATAACACAGATATCAGTGTTACTGAGTTCAAATCAACCTTGAGATATACTGAGAAGAAGGAATGACACTGTGAATATCACAGGAAGCTCAGTAGACCTTAAACAATCAATGCATCTGATGCAAGAATATCAGCGAGTCATGCATGCATCATCATGCATAAATAGGTAAGAGTCTGCAAGAGTGATTATGAGACTAGTTAATCCACAATGACAGATTATGATATCATACATTAATGCTAATTCTAATCCTAACTAAAAGCCATTATGAATAGAACCTCTTTCTTTTATTGTTGTTAGTGTTCGTTCTAGTTGGAAAAAAATGCAATGAGTGGCACAATAAACTTTTGTTCAAGAAAGAATAAACTGAAAATGTAAAGAGCATAAGCAATAGAAATTACACTGTGTAAAATAGAATTGGGATTGAAATACCTTTAAAGTTCAAAAAGGCTTTCATTCTATCTTATATGTATCTCTACGTCTGTCTCTGTCTTCTCATTTGTGATGCATGCAATTAGCTGTAATGGGGTTTGCTTGAGGTTTTTTATGCCATAATGATTGTCAGGATGTGGCCTATATGAGAAGGGCAGAAGCTCTCAGGCTACAAACTAACACAAGATTCTCACTGGTATGAAAGTCAGAACTGAGTTTATGAAGTTTGCATTTATTAGGCATTTGGTCTTTACTTGGTCTGTTGCTTCCAAACATAACAGCAGAAATTCAGTAATCATATAAGCATACAAGTTGAGCAGTGTAGAGACAGAGAATGAGGAAAGTGCACTTAATATTGAAACACAATGTTTTTCATGCATTGATTTTGTATGAACTGCATGTAAACTCAATATAAATAGCTAAATGGGCTGCTATATATACAGTTTTGACCATTTGTACAGGCAAATAGCCTAGGTAATGGTAGGTACCAAAAGGACTAGAGGTCATCTGAAGTGTTTTAGTGACCGAAATGATAAAAATGAACATTTAGCTGAAACGGGAAGGGATAAACTTTTTTTCCCCCTTCGGAGTAGTGCTCAAAAACTCTTTCTACTGAACAAATGATGTGTTGAAGACTTGTGTCTCCCTTGCACTGACTGACCTCTTTCAGGAGGTGATGAACTTGATGGTTGCCTTCTAGAACTGGACCATCAAATCCTGTGCCAAATTGAATTTGCTCAGTTGTAGCCCAAAGTAAATCCTCTGTTGAGACTTTTCTACAACAGTCAGGGTTCGCCTTCCATTTAAGGCCCTGTAATATTGTGGTTTGCAGGACCTTGAAGGAGTTGATTTTGGACACAGTCGAGTGATTGACAGGAGTGGAGGCTTTGGAGCCCCTACTGAAGTCCATAATCATCTCTACACTTCAAAGCATCAGCTCTGTGACTGAACCGAGACAAATTACAGTTTAGCTTCCTGTTTCTATGCAAATATGTGCCCATCTTTTGGATAGTCTGTTATCTTACACATCACCTGTGAATGTGCAGTAGCCCTACAATGTAGTTGGACTACTGTGCAAGTGGCCACACTAAACAAATTATCTGTAAAAAATTGTCCTAGAACTAACGTCACTTTTCAGAGCTAGTTTGCATGATGGAGTCAGTTCCCCTGAAGTTCCCCTAATGTATGACAAAAACCTAAAAATAACCTCTTTGTGTAATGTTTTGCATAGAAGTGTAGACATGTACACTTTTTTTTCTGCTACATGTTTAATTTGTGATAGTTAACCTATGTTAGCCATTCTAGATGTTTCACAAAACTTGATAACAGTGAATTAAGGCCTTCATACCAAGGACAATATCTATAACTGCTACTATAGCTATAAAGTTCTAAAAATGATTCTAAATCTATAAAAATAGGAAACTACAATGATAATCACACAGATGAACGAAATCGTGGGAATGACTTTCAGCACAGTTTTTTCCTGCTGATGAACAATAAAAACACTGACAATCAGAATCCCCATGCCTTTAAATAACAGACGACATAACTGCAATGCGTGCTTATAATAAAGAGAATGTTATTGTGCATTGGTATGGATGCTAATATTTATTGTTATCATACTTGGTTTAAACAGACCTTTAGACACGTCCCCTCTTTCTAGTGACATGTCTTCAGACATATTTCTACAGATATATTTTGTGCCTTTCTACAGACATATTTGTACCAATCAAGCTGAAGCAAGGCAAACTCTGCAAGTGCTTTGTAGCTCTCATCTCCCTCCAGTGAGCAAACGCTTCAGCAAAGTTCAATCTTGTTTTGTCTCTTTATTTTTTATTTGTCTTGTTATTCCTTTTAGGATGTTTGGCTCTGCAAGCCATTGTTGACAAATGAGAAATCGTGAACAATTTGCTCCCTCCAAACTCAAGAAAAATGCCTCGAGCGCTCTTAGTTTCAGCCTTTCCATCTATGGACTGTCAGCTATAAATACACAAAATGATTGACTTTCTGCACACCATTCCCTAAAAATCACTTGCAGTACCTTTAATAACTTTTAAAGTAATATTAGGCAAGCCCTTAGGCTATTCTTTGGTTCTTATCATCAACATAAATGAAAAATTGTGATTTAATGGTGACCTCCCTCTGTTGTCAACAATACAGTCAGACAGTTTGTTTTCTTCTTATCTGTCCAAACAGCACTGACTGAAATTAGAACTGATAAACTTCTGTTTACTTAACCTATACTTAAAATACTTAAAATTTCATAAAAATCGAAGCTTTTTTATTAATCAGGAGACACCATTTGTTGTTGTTGTTTTAAATGAGCTCCACTGGGTGCCCTTGACAGTGATGAGCACCAGGTGGCAGTTTGATTGGTTTATCTTAGCAATTCTCTGTGCAATAGAGTGTCCTTAACTAAAGGGCTGCTTTATGAGATTTCACCATGCACTACATCTGTTACGATCACCAGCTGGAGTGCCCATGAGCTCCTCCAGAGGGCACTCCACCCCAGACTGTCACTCCCTCACTAACTACATTCCCCATAATCCTTTGCCTGGACTCTTGATCACTGATTGCATTCACCTGTGTCTTGTTACCTACATCAGTCTCACCCTATTTAAAGCTTGGTTTTTCACTCATTCATTGCTCAGCATTGTTAGCCTGTTGTGTTCTCTAGTTTCTGTGTCTTTCCTTGTTTTTGTGCCTAGCCTTGTGTCTTGACCTTGGACTGTTTACATTGTTTTTGATTGTTTGCTGCCTGCTTTCACCTGTTTTGTCTCACCCTGGATTATACCTGTTTGCTGGTGTGACCACTCTTTTGAATAAAGCTACTGCATTGTCTTGCCTGATTCACTACTGCATTGTCACAGCTCCCAACGTTACAACAACTCATAACTCCATATATAACAGATACACAGACAGATCAATTAAATGGTCTAACCTGGAAAGTAGTGAATGATAGTCAAGTTAAAGTATAGATACTGTGGTTATAAATAAAAGCTGACCTATCTAGTCAGAAAGTACTTAAGTTAAAAACAAATTAATTAAACTAGATTTAACATTTCAAGGATTATTAATTTAAAAGATTGGTGACCTGCAAAAAATGAACTTGAACTTTTTTGATCAAACATATATATACTATACATACATTTAATTTGATTTGATTTAAGTACAATTTAACTTTTTTTGCGATTTGTGTATGAAACTGAAAGTTAAAGCAAACAAAACCCTACCTGTCTGACTTTTTGAAGTGAAACTTGTAGTAAATATACACATGGCATTTGATTCACACATCTAACTATGAAACCCAAGAAATCAGGTACTTTAAGCACACAAATTCATGGCTTCCTCTAACTGTTGACTTTCAGTTCCTGTTTCAGTGTAATTCCGTCAGAGGACATTCTATCTTCCTGTGTAGCAAAGACAGATTTCAGTTCAAACATCACAATGGTTAGGACTTTACCAACTAGTTCAGCTTTTACTTCAGAAGCATGCCATTTCTCTTATGCACAGGGTGTCCAGAAGGGTGGGGGTGGAAAAGAAGCTTATGGCTCAAAGAGAGCACATGAAATAGGGAGAGAGACCAAAAAAAGGTGAACAGCAACACATCTAAAGATGTGAAAGGATTTAATTCACACTAGCCAGCCCCAGTCACACAGCGACTGACAGGCCACGTTAAGAGACTTTGTCACTGCACATTATTTCAAATCATCATAAAGGAAGACGCTAAGCAAAAGCAAGACATATTGAATAACATGGCTGTGAAAACCCCCAGAGCACCATTGCAGTGTTTGTCTGTGTATGAAATATATTGAGAGGGACAGGCCAGGAAACTTGGGCTCACACACAAATCAACCAATTTTCATTAGCTGTTCAGTCATGGCCTATATCTGAAATACCTTATTATATGAGAATTTTTTTTTTTAATGTGTTTAAAACTGAACTGTTGTGTCAAGGTCAGTACACTGTTTGGCAAGTAATTATTTCATAAAGTATTTTCTGTCTTCTATTTCCACATGCATGAAATGAAAGTAGTTCAGAAATATACCACTTATCCATAATAAACTAAAATAAAATTATAATTAAAAAACATTAAAGGAATAGTTCACCCAAAAATGGCTATTGCTGAAAATATAGCCTCAGGCCAAGATGTGGATGAATTTGTTTCCTCATTGGAACATATTTAGCAGAGAAATTTACTATTACATCACTTGCTCACCAATGGATCCTCTACAGTGAATGGGTGCCGTCAGCACTGGCGAAAGCAATATTATGGATAGGGGACTTGTCTTTTAGACAAGCAATGGTTTAAAGGTTTAAAGATGAATTTGTTTATTACAAACATGCAGCTTTTCACATCACAAGACGTTAATTTAGGCCATGGACTGGAGTCGTGCGGATTATTTGTGGATTATTGTGATTTTTTATCAGCTGTTGTCATCTTATTAGCTGGCACCCATTCACTGCAAAGGATCCATTGGTGAGCAAGTGATGTAATGCTACATTTCTCCAAATCTGTTCTGAAGAAGAAATAAACTCATCTACAACTTGGGTTACCTAAGGTTAGTATGTTTTCAGGAAATTTTCTTTTGGATGAACTATTCCTTTAATGTCAAGTACAAAGTTGTTACTTTTTAAACTCTCCTTTTGTGCTCTACAGAAAAAAACTAGCAGCATGTTGGTTTGGCACAACAGAACCTTGAGTAAAAAGTATTTAAATTTTGGGTGAACAATGGAGAACTTTATGTTCCTTTCACTCACAATTTTGTTATATTCAATTCTGGAATTAAATTAGTGTATCGAACAACAAATGTCCTTCAAAAGTACTGCTAAAAATCCATTTAAACAGCTGCACGGCAAGTGTGCATCATATATTGCACACTAAATTACTTATTTTATATCAGAGCCTTTATCAAAGCTCTTGAATATTTCAAGATAGAAAGCTGAAAAAAATTAGCTTTCAGCAGTAATAATATGGCACTTAAACCTGTAAAATCTGGAGGGTTCCATTTATCATGCAGATCTTGTTTTCTATTACAGTGGTGATGAAAAACGAGAACCTTTCTGTCTTCTTTCTTTTATAACCTTTTGAGCCTTTTAGAAATTAACCACTCTAATCCCATGAAAGGCTGGAAGCATATGATGGGACATTCAGCATTAACACATGATGTTAACTGCTGCTTACACACTTCAAAGACATGGTTCTATACAAAGTACTGCAGTTCCCTTAAACCCATTAGTTTATTTTGATCAAAAACACACTTTTTCATTTGAGCTGATTCTACATCTTCAAAACCACCCACATGAAGATGCCACAGGAATAGCTAGTATCTGCTAAAAAGCTCCCCAAAGCTTTAAATGAATAGCAGAGTATTCAGGGAACAAGTGTTTTCGGAATGAATGCAATGTCTTCTCAAGGGTTTTGACATTCAAGACAGCTTTATGGATAAAAACTGACAGTGAACTGCATTTCTCTTTAGAGAAGTCCCACCAAAGAGCTTTGATCTAGCCAGGTCAGGAGACAAGGTGTTGAAACAAGTGTTGTCATGGGCTCCGGTTGCTTTAGTGATCTGGCTTACATGGAATAGCTTATCTCAATCTTCGTGCTTCCAGGAACATGTTGTCACCATTTAGTCCTTGCTGGGGAAACTACTCCACATAAAGAGAGGAACGAGAGCACAAATTAATTTAGATACATAAATATCATGGCAGTTTATACACTTTATAGTGAAATTAAAATTATTTACTGTAGCTTTATATACTCAGAAAAAAAGTATGTCACTGGGGTGGTACCCTTTCAAAAGGTAGTCCTATTAAAATGTACATTTTAGGTACTGATACATAGTTTTAAAGTACTACTTTTAAAGTACTAATATGTGCAAATAAGGTACAAAGATGTATATTTCAGTTTTACCTTATGGTACTGCCCCAATGACCGCTTTGTACCTTCTTTTCTGAGAGTGCAGTAAAAAAAATCTTGTGTATAGTGTTAAAGAAAAGTATAGTGTTAAAGAAAAGGAGGGATAAGTGGAAATGTTTTGTGGTAATCAACATTATGCCACAAATCTGGTCAACTTGTATTGAACTAAGTATGTTACTTTAAAAGAATAGGTTGCTGAAAAACTGTAGCGACTTCAGAACTGTACACACACAATTCATCGCTCTACTTCTTTAGAAAATGATGTCAATGATAGTCAGAGATATTTTTTAAAAGTTAGATATTGCCTCAAAAGTTACATACTGCAATTTATCACTTTTTAAATGTATGTCATGAATGTTACCACTTCCTCTAGGCCAACAGAAAGTTGGGTTGTATGCATGTTTTGCCTAAATTGACACATGAAATATGAGGATGATCCAGCATGCGTTTAATATTAAAGTGTAGATTTAGGGGTAGATTTAAAGTAACACTCTTATTTCACTGGTGTTGATATCCATTAAAAAAGAGCATTTTGGTGGTTGTTAAAATGTTATGTTTGTTAAAATATGCATTTTCCTTGCTTGTATTTGTATTTGCTTGCTGTTTGTTTACTTGTCCATCATTTATAATCTGAGTATGTGTCTAGTGTTTGAGGATAGTGTTTTGTATTAATCATCAATAACTTTATATATTGAAGGAATAGTTATTTACTCTGCCTCAGGCAATCAAAGATGTATATAGGCTACGTTTGTTTCTTCATCAAAACAGATTTGGAGAAATGTAGCTTTACATCACTTGCTCACCAATGCATCCTCTGCAGTGAATGGGTGCCATCAGAATAACAGTCCAAACAGCTGACAAACACATCACAATAATCCACAAGTAATCCAGATGACTCCAATCTGGTTTGAATCAGGGGAGAAATCTGCAAGATCAAGCACTGTTTACAAAAGTAGAACAAAACAGCTGTGAA